ATGAATAAGCTACAAACATCTGAATCCGAAGTCGAGGTTCCATCATCGCATTCGGATGGTTTGCGGTTTAACTATTTGTATCGTGTAACTATTGTTACAATTCGTTCTGCGCTGATTTATAGTTATTCTTATGCCATAAATTTATCAATCTCTTATGGCTGTTAGTATGTGTTATTATTGTTATTTTTGTGATGTTAGTTCGATAGCTGTTTGTTTGTCGGTTAACTGGATAATTCAAAAACCGATTTTCATGAGATTTTTACCAGTAAAATGTCATGATCCGGATCCAGGAATTTCTTAAATTATTGCATCAGTTTCCCCTCAAGGCAACAGTGGTAATGTTTATGACCGTCACCTGGAGAAAGAGGCGATTTTAATGTAATTCTTCAAGTGTGATTTTTTTTTGTTTTTTTTTTTCAGTGACGCTAATACCTTCGCTGAGGTATGTGGTCTCTGAGTGCTTCTCCTTCTTCCTCACCCACGCCTTCACCCACCCTCCCCCTTAACCATTTATTCACCCTCTCCCTCTCACTTCCTTTCACCACCCTCTCCCTGTCCCTCAGCCTCCCTCTCCCAACCCTACCTTTCCCCCTTTCCCTCAGTCTTCCTCTCCCTCTCACTTCCTTTCACCTACCCTCTCTCTCTCATTCATGTATGCTTTCAGCCACCCTTCACCCTCTCCCTCTCACTTCCTTTCACCACCCTCTCCCTGTCCCTCAGCCTCCCTCTCCCTCACCCCTACTTTCACCCTTTCCCTCAGTCTTCCTCTCCCTCTCTCTTCCTTTCACCTACCCTCTCTCTCATTTACCCATGCTTTCAGCCACCCCTCACCCTCTTCCTCTCACTTCCTTTCACCCACTCTCCCTCTCCCTCACCCCTACTTCCACCCATCCCTTTCCTCTCACTTCCTGTCACCCACTCTCCTCCTCTCCCTCACCACTGCCTTCACTCCCCCTTACCCTCTCCCTCTCACTTCCTTTCACCCATTCTCCCCCTCTCCCTCTCTCTCAACCCTACTTCCACCCGTCCCTCTCCCTCTCACCTCCTTTCACCCTCTCCTTCTCACTCACCCCTACTTTCACCCACCCCTCTCCTCTCACTTCCTTTCACCCACTCTCCCTCACCCCCTCCCTCTCACTCCTTTCACACCCCCCTCCCCTCACCCTCACCCCTCCATTCCTCACCCACCCCTCCTTCCTCACCCTTTCCCCTCCTTCCTCACCTCCTCCTCTCCTCCTCACCCTCTCCCTCTCACTTACCTTCCAAACTCCCATGGATGCTTGCCACGCCCGGAGCCCCCTTATGTGCGAATACTTGGGGCCTTTCGATCGACTGTTGTCCCGCTAAGAATATGTTGTGGAAGGTGATCCCGGGAGTCCACAACAGCTGATCGGATAAGACGTTATCCGGCGGGAAGGGCCTCAGCTGAACCAGGCTGACTCGCTCGTCGTGCCACCGGGTCTCGAACTGGCAACGGGGAAATGGGGGTTTGGTGGATTAGGAAATGGATGGGTATGTGGATTGGAAATGGATGGAATGTGGATTAGAAATGGGATGGTTTGGTGATTAGGAAATGGATGGATGTGTTTGTGGATTAGGAAAATGGATGTGGGTTTGGTGGATTAGGAAAATGGATGGTATGTGGATTAGAAATGATGGTAATGTGATTGGGAAGTGATTAGAAATGGATGGGTATGTGGATTTAGGAAATGATGGTATGTGATTAGAATTATGATGGGTGTGGATTAGGAAATGGATGGGTATGGATTAGGCCGGAAGATGGATGGTTGTGGATTAGGAAAATTGGGATCATGAATGGATTAGAATGTGGATGGTAATGTGATTAGAATATGGGCGTTATGTGGATTGGGAAATGGATGGGTATGTGATTGATAGTTATGATGCGCGTTGTTGTGTGGATTAGGAAAGGATGTAATGTGATTAGAATATGAATGGTATGGAATTAGAACAATGAATGAGTATGTGATAAGAATGGACATGGGTATTGTGGTGATTAGGAAATGGTACACCGTGCACTGCCGCATGGGTATGTGTGTTGGTTGGATTAGAAATGATGTAGTGGTTTGGTTGAAGGAAATGTATGGTATGTGTGGGTTTGTGGATTACGAAAGATGGTATGTGAGAATTAGGAAAATGGATGGGTATGTGGATTGGGAAGTGGATTAGAATTATGATGGTAGGGATTAGGAAAGAATTTGGTATGTGGATAGAAATGCGTACAATGCGGTAGTGATTACGCGAAAGATGGAACTCACCGTCCCACCAACCTTACCGTTGTGGATAGAAATGATGATGAGTATGCGATTAGGAAATGGTGATGGTATGTTGGATTAGAAATGGCAGGGTATGTGGATGGGGAAATGTAGGGTAGTGATTGGAAATGGGGATGGTATGTGGATTGGAAATGGATAGTTGTGGATAGAAATGGATGGAAATGGATTAGAATTATGGAGGTATTTGGATTAGGAAATATCGTATGGGATTAGAAATGGATGGCGTTGGTGGAATTAGAAATGGACAATGGGTATGTATTAGAAATATGGATGGAGTATGATTAGAAATGGATGGGTATTGGGATTAGAAAGAAATGGGTATGTGGATTAGAATGTTAGTGTATGGCATTAGGAAATGTAGGTATGTGAACTAGGAAATGATGGGTATGTGGTTAGAAAATGGTGGGTATGTGATTTAAATATATGGTAGTTGGTATTAGGATATATGATGTGGATAGAAAATCGAATGGGTAAATGTGGATTAGATATGGATGGGTATTGATTTATGGAAATGAATGGGTATGTTTGGATAGGTAGTGCCAGGGTATGATTTAGCGAAATGAATCGTATGTGGATTGGGAAAGTTCATGGCAGGATATAGAAAATGAGATGGTAGTGGATTAGAAAATGAATGGGTATGGATTAGGAAATGGAGGTTATGATTAGGAAGGTATGGGTATGTATAATTGATGTATGGGAATAGAATATATGGGAATGGATTAGAAATGATGGATGTCATTAGATATGATGGTATGTGATTAAGGAATGGGATGGTATATGGATGTAGAAGGATGGTATGTGGATAGAAATGAAATGGGTATGTTGATTGGAAGTGGATGATTGGATTAGGAAAAATCATGGTATTGGATTAGGAAATGGAGGATGTGGATTAGGAATGGATTATTGGATTTAAAGAATGGTATGTGGATTAGGATGTGGATGGGTATGTGGATTAGATATGGATGGGTATGTGATTAGAAATGGATGGGTATGTGATTAGGATATGATGTATCGTGGATTAGGAAATGGTGATGGTATTGAATTAGGAATGGATGCCGGATTGATTAGATGTGGATGGGTATTGAAATTAGGATAGGCATGGTATGTTGGAATAGGAAGCTATGGATATTTGGATAGGATATGGAAGTAGTGGAAATTGAAATGAGGTATGTGCGATTGGGAAGTGGTATGGTATTCGTCGATATAGGATAATAGGTATGTGACTTGGGAAATGATGGTTATGTGGATAGATAATGATGTGTATGTGATTGGGAATTGATGGTATTGATTGGAAATGGGTATGTGTTGGGAAATGGGAAAGTGGATTAGAAAGAGTTGGGAGGGGAAGTGTATTTCGTAAACGGATGGGTTGGTGACTAGGAATGGTTGGGTAAAAGCGCTGTTCAACTGGCCCTGTGTACGTGCAGCTCGTAAACGCGGCGAACTGGGCCGAATCGGTCACTTTAGGCCCTATCACACTAGCACTTTTACCGTCAATTTCTGCGGTTCCGTCTGAATTTGAGGCTTTCCGCAAGGATCGTGTACAAACGGAACGCCTCCCAGACCAAGACGGTTACGACCGTTCCCGTCTGACTCATTTCCGTGTTGATCTTGTGCTATTAATAAACTAGATAGGATGAGTGAATGTAAACATAAGCTAATGTTTTAGAACATTCGTATATACGATATACATCATCATATTTCTTTAAAATAACGTAATATGTATGAGAATGTTCGTTTGTTTCCCGGGACCTCACTCCGATAGCGCCATGTTTGTTTACATGATTTTCATACGGAGTTCATTCGGAAACGCAAAAAAGTTGACGGAATAAGTGCTAGTGTGATAGGGCCTTTTGTTGCGAAATCTGGGGCTGAGGGGAGCCGGCGATAACACGACCGAGGGGCTGAAGGGAGCCAGCGATAACAGTTAATGATCACAAAATTCGTGTTTTATTACTAAAAACAAATAACAAGAAATGGCTAATCTGAAACTGAGGATCTACACTCGCGTCGACGGCCTGTCAGACTAGCATTAATAATTTCTTATCAGTAAATCGGTTTCCATGCTTCTTTCTTAAATAAAATTCATAATATTAACAATTAATATTAATTAATATTAATATATGAAACTACGGTGATACGGAATAAATCCTTGAGCTCCATGTTGCTCAAACGAGAAGTTCTGCGCGCGGTGTTATTCAAGCGAGAGGCGTGTGCGGTCTATTCCGGCAGTGCTTTTCGCAGTTGAAATCCTACGCCTGGCTGGGCACTAGACGAAGACGAGGCCAGTTGAAGTGGATTCGTAAATGGATAGGTTGGTGGATTAGGAAATAGTTGGGTAAGTGGATTCGTAAATGGATAGGTTGGTGGATTAGCGGTGATAATAGATTAGGAAATGTTGGTAAGTGGATTCGTAAATGGATAGGTTTTGGTGGATAGGAAATAGTTGGTTGTGGATTCGTAATGGATAGGTTGGTGGATTAGGAAATAGTTGGTAAGTGGATTCGTAAATGGTTGGTGGATAGGAAATAGTTGGGTTAAGTGGATTCGTAATGGATAGGTTGGTGGATTAGGAAATAGTTGCGTAAGTGGATCGTAAATGGGTCGAAATGGATAGGTTGGTGATTAGGAAATAGTTGGTAAGTGGATTCGTAAATGATAGGTTGGTGGATTAGGAAATAGTTAGGTAAGTGGATTCGTAAATGGATAGGTAGGTGGTTTAGGAAATAGTTGGGTAAGTGGATTCGTAAACGGATAGGTTGGTGGATTAGGAAATAGTTGCGTAAGTGGATTCGTAAATGGGTAGGTTGGTGGATTAGGAATAGTTGGGTAAGTGGATTCGTAAATGGATAGGTTGGTGGATTAGGAAATAGTTGGGTAAGTGGATTCGTAAATGGATAGTTGGATTAGGAATAGGAATGATTCGTAAATGGATAGGTTGGTGGATTAGGAAATAGTTGCGTAAGTGGATTCGTAAATGGGTAGGTTGGTGGATTAGGAAATAGTTGGGTAAGTGGATTCATAAATGGATAGGTTGGTGGATTAGGAAATAGTTTGGGTATGCGGTTCTAAATGGATTAGGTACGTGGATTAGGAAATAGTAATGCGGTAGGTTGTGATAGGAAATAGTTGCGTAAGTGGATAAAATCATAAATGGATAGGTTGGTGGAAATAGTTGGAATGTGGATTCTAAATGGATAGGTTTGATTAGAAATAGTTGCGTGGATCGTAAATGATAGGATTAGGAAAATAGTTGCGTAAATTCGTAAAGGTAGTTGGTGGATTAGGACACTCCAGGGTAATTTTCTATATTACGTCCGCATAACCGATATCGACGATTTTGGTATCGTTGGATTCCTCTCACTTTATACAATGCAAATATGTAGGTTTTATTGCGCGGAAACCCCTTGTTAGCGATAAACTTGGCCCCGATAGCAGGCGACGATTTGGAGCGGCGACGTAATATATGAAATTACCCTAATAATATAACCTCACAGTGAAAATAATCATGATTACTCACATGACTTTCCATTGCAGGGGGCTGTGCCCCCTGCGACCCCCCTTGGGGGGCTGCCGCCCCCCAACCCCCGCCGAGGAAACAAAACCTCCACCACGTATTCACGGCAGGATAGAGCGCACACGAACTTGCGGAGCCGATAACCTACAATAACCTAGGATTTTTAAGGTACTAACCTGATTGATTAATGCCGGTAATTAGTAGGGAGGGTGCTCCTTTGCCGCAGAATGTGAAGGAGGTCCAGGCGTGCTGGCTGCCCGCACCTGCAGCAGGCTTTCTCCCGACGGAGGAGGCCGTTTGGGAAGCACATCTCTAGCATTTTTTCCTGGCTAGTTGCAATTTTGCGCAGAAAAACCGTCTCCGATTACGAGCACCCTCCGCACTCGGCCATCGCGGCGGCTATACTGACTTCTGAACGTGACGGTTATTTCAGTTAGGAATACGGATGTCGTTATTCCAGAGGACGGGAAACTCGCCCTTGAGGCCATCGGTGTAACATCGAAAAAGGCGCAAAACCCGCAGACGAGGGCGAGCCACCCTGCTCGCAATAAAAACTATATATTTGTAATGTGGAGAGTGAGAGGAATCCAACGATACCAAAATCGTCGATATCGGTTATAAGGACGTAATATAGAAAATTACCCACTCCAGACTAGAAAAAATAAAACCAAAAGTAGATGTTTTAGAAAATATAACCATCCTCATGTTCACTTTGAAGGCCTGATCTTGGACACAGAGCATTTTCTGGTGGGGGCACAGGGGGTAACAACGATAAATCTGGGGGGCGCCCAAAAGAAATAAAAATTAAGACTGCCCACTTCAGTACTTATAATGTATAGTTACACATTGTTTACATTTTCGTCTTGCTGTGTATTACATATTATTATATGTTAATATTATATATTTATATATAAATATTATATATAAAAATATATTAATATATAAAGGGTCAATGACTCTTGGGTGGGGGGGGGTCACACGGGGTGGCCAATCAGATTGCAGGGGGGCAAGTGCCCCCTGTGCCACCATGAAAGACCCGCCTCTGCTTTCCGGAGAAAAGACAAATACCGTTAAAAAAATGTTATTGTTTCAAAATAGCAGTAATATCCTACCCTCATTTTCACCCGGAAGAACCTCTCCTGGACATTGATCTCGAAAACTTCCAGAAGCAGCACGGAGACATTGAGACCCGTAAGAGGCACGGGCGGCGTGTCCCTCTTGTAGCTCGTCGGCAGCGGCAGGAGGAGAGGGCACGTCTCGTCGCTCCCGTCGGCGCAGTCTTCGGTTCCGTCGCAGCGAACATGTAGGGGTATACACAGGCCATCCGAACACGTGAATTCCCCCTGCGTTTTGATATCATCGTTGTTTTCATGGTTAATTTTGTTGTCAGTGTTATTATTCATTTAATTAAAATTATCATTATTATTATTTATTATTACATCATATTATTATCATGATTGTCAGTGTGTTATTTACTCCTTTGTATTGATCATTACCGTAATAATAATAACGATAGTTATTATCATTGTTGTTATCATAACCATCACTGCCATAATGATAATAAGAAGCCCTCAGAGGACGCATACCTCCGCCAAGGCAATATTCATTTATTTATTGAAAATTTTCTGCCGCGTCAACATCAAGGGTCATTCGCGGCGCATACAAAATGTTGCAACAGCGTGAGGCTTCGGGGCAAAGCCAACAGGTCAGAAAAGGTCATACAGAATTCTAATAAGGTACTGTGATAAAAGGTTACAAATGAGTTTATTAGGACAAAATATTTTAGATACCAAAGGCAGTAGAGCGCTGGGGGTCAGTATGTAGCGAAAAGGGTAAAGAGGGAAGAGCAAAAGGAGTACAAAGGATATGAAGGACTGACACAAAGCCAGTCTTGCATCCTTTCAGCACGGCGCCCATACTTTTGGATGGCAGAAGAAGGGGTGAAGAGAAGGTAAAGGAAAGTTGGCGAAGAAAAAAAAAACTATGCAAAATTAATTGAGGCGAGGGTGAGGGCCAAGCAGGGTGATCCCTTACCTTGGACCTGTCCCCTCTCCTAAGCCCCCCCCCCCCACGAAAACAACGGGCATAGAATGGAAGGGGGGAAATAGGGTCACTGATGCAATAAAAATATTCACACTTGAAGAATTATAATTATCATTATTGTTATAGAAATAATGATAATTAACATTATTATCACTGCTATCATATCTGTTATTGTAAGTACCTCCACCAAGGAGGTAATTCTATTGTTTATTTGTTTACAAGATAACTCAAAGTTATAAGCAAATATTTATCATTTTTTTAACCTGAGGTGTGTCTCAGCCCAACTTAGATGCCATTAAAGTTTGATGGTGATCCTGATCAAGGAATTTTTAAACATTACTTTGCTTACCTCCGCCAAGGAGGTTATGTTTACGGGCGTCAACAGTGTGCTTGAGAAAGAGGTATTTTAGATGTAATTCTTCAATTGTGAATATTTTCATTGCATCAGTGACCCTATTGCCGTGACGGAGATATGCTCTCTGAGTGCTTCTAGTTATAATTATTATTATTGTTGTTATTATTACTGCATTATTATTATTATTAGAGTAGTAGTAGTAGTAATATTAATAATGTCATTTAAAAATATATTATTTGTATTATGACCATTGTTGTTTGTTGTTACTGGGGGTATTATTATTATCAATACCATTGTCTCTGTTATTCGTAATAGCATTATCATAATTCAGACGTATTTAGGATAATGACACTGTACTTTGAAAAGAAACCCATTTTCCCCTTTCCAGCTCACCCTCGAACACGCAGTGAACGTGGAAACCCTCTGCTCCCCGCCAGGATACGTCCAGTTGTGTCTCCCGGTCGGCTGAAACCCCTCCGTAGTTGTCGATGCGAGTTCCATGTCGTTTTGCGTTATGAGAACGAGTCTTTGGCCGTCGACGAGGACTTGGCGGCCGGTGAGCGAGAGGAACCGCGTCTTCGCCTCGTCCGGCAAGAAGTAGAACTGGGTCTTCCTCGTTGGCAGTCCCTCGTGACGCAGCTCGAATGTCCGATTCCGTGGGACCTGAAGGCGGGCTGTGGCGTGATTGGCTAGGACTTGGGTTTAACGTTATTGATTCTAATGGAATCGGTGTTTAGTGATCGTTTTGCTATTTTATGATTTGTATCTTCGAAATATTATTCCGATATCATTATTGTCTTGGATATTATCATTTATGTTGCTGTTGACATAATTTTAGTATCATTGTTATTATCATTGGCGGTAGCATTGTCATGCATTATCATTATCCTTATCATATCTCTCTCTCTCTCTCTCCCAAACGCACACATACACACACCAATACGGATAACTTACCTTACATATAAAATGCTTCATGTCTCCGCCACACCATCTTTTCATTATCTTAGTCTGGTCGGCCGTTTTGATCCAAACATTGCATGCATTACCCGGTGATTCCAGCCAAAAGGCCATTGAAATGTTTTGCTCATTCGCTATCTGAAATGAGGGTTTAGTTATTAGCGGTTGGTCGTTACCTCTCTTTAAGCCATGTATCTTTGGGTGAAGCGATTCAGATGGTTTAATTTACCTCTGATTTTATAAGAGATGTCAACAATCCCCCAAAATGACAGTTGTATTTATGTTAACTCGCTAAGGGTCAGTTTCAGTCTGTTGGCGCTCTGGTAGTCATTTCCAAAGGGTCTCCATCTTCACCTTCTCCCCATGATTACAAACCCATTTCTATAACGCCAATTTTAAATTTAAAAAATGAACATTTGTTGGCCAAACGCCATGTTTTTTTTAGAAAGCGACGGATGATGCATTGCTTGAGCTTGTACAAAATATGCAATCGTCTCAGGACATACTCCTAGCAGCAGCCTCACTCCATCATTACTCTCCAGTAAATGAGTCAAGACATCTTGGTTGTCTTACAAATCCAAAGGACTGGCTCACAGTATGACGAAGTATTGGGTGCTTTGGCAGGGGTAGGTTTTGGTGACAAGCTGTTGTGTGAGTTCAGTTTCACCGCAAAGCCATCAGTTGTAGGAGCCCAGCGAACATAGGCTGTGCAGCAGACAACCAAAATGTCTTGACTTCCTTATTGAGGAGTCATGATGGAGTGCTCCCTGGCCTCCCCACAGATCGTCTGCTTGTCCTATTGTACAGTGGTCCAAGGATGGCTATAAATCACGTGCTTAGTATCTGATAATTCGGGGAAGATACACTGCTCTTGCGGAAGGGGACAGACAACACAACACTGGAATATCTACTGTGACAAGAGATGAACATGTAAAATTATGTAAATTGTATAGAATATAGTGGATACATATGATATTTGCATGCATATTTCAGTAATATGATCTAGATATAGCTAGGTTACAGTAAGTGTAAATTTAAACTTTAAAAGTAGATGTGTGAATCGTACCTTTGTCGCGGCCTCCAGATCCGTGCTTTTGGCGGCGCTAAGCAAACTCCCGCCATAGGACTGGCAGTGGGTGGAGGCTTGCGCGTAGGTTATGCCATTCCTATTCTCCAGCGAAATTTGCAGGAGTCTGTGTTGTGGCCGAGGAAGGCAGAGCTCCTCCTCCGAGACCTCCGAGACTTCGAAAAGGCTGGGTCGAAGCAGGAGGGGGGGGGGTAGGTGAAGACACGCTTCGTATACACAGAAACATACAATATATCTTCAAGCATTTCCACCCCACTATACCTCTATCCTTTGGTTTTAATTCGAATACACACATACGCACACACTGTATCTTCACGAATTTCCATCTTATCCACACCTCTACCCTTTGATCTGATTCAAAAGCACACATGCCAAACTATATCTTCACATATCCCCCCCCCTACACCTCTCCTACGCACCGCACCGCACCACAGAACCTCACTACTAACCCCTTGGCATCGGAGCGCCCGTCAGCCACGTATTGCGAGTGAGTCCCGTTAGTGTAGATTGTACCGATCCTTCCGCTGTCAGTCGTCATGACTTGCCACTCCCCCTTGCTGTCGTCGTCTTCATCAGGAAGGTCTTCGCACTTGGCCAGGGATTCCATCTGTTTTGTGAAGACGATTGTAAATGCAGGAACTAGGAGCATTCAGAGAGCGCATACCTCCGCCAGGGCAACAGGGTCACTGATGTGATAAAGATAATAACACTAAGAATTACATCAAAATCACCTCTTTCTCAAGTACACTGGTGACGTCCGTGTTTTCCCCGTCTCGCAATGCTAATGAATCCTCTAAGAAAAATTCTGTATCTCTATCAGGATCCGGATCACCACCGAAATTTAAAGCACGTCAGGCCTTTCCATCCGGGAAAGCGGGCTTTTTTCACCATGTTCTCTAATATATAGATATATATATATACACACATCACAACACACACACACACAAATACGTACATATATATATAACATACACATAACACATATGTATGTATTGTATATATATATATACATACATACACACCCACCCACACAAACACGCACACACATATATATACATATGCATTTTACACATGCATATGTGTGTTTGTATGTGTATTACATACATACATATATATATATATATATATATATATATATATATACATATATATATATACATACATACATATATACGTATATATATGAATATATATATATATATATATATATATAATATATAATATATATATATATATATACATACATATATGTATACGTATATATATGAATATTATATGTATATATATATATATAAATTGTGTGTGTGTGTGTGTGTGTGTGTGTGTGTGTGTGTGTGTGTGTGTGTGTGTGTGTAATGCGTGTGTTTTGTATTTCCAAGGCTTTTTATGCGCATCACCGATTCTGAAGAATGATATATAATTAATTCATCCTGAAAGTATACAATGCGAGATAAATTCATAATGCCAAAATACACGAAACCAACATTTTCATATTTGTGCAGGTTTCTCTTTACCACAATCTCGCTTTTTTTCTTTGTTTTTCGAAATAGCATACTAGTTTCCAGTCGACCAAAGATTTGACAAAGTTCCTGTTATTAAAAAGGGTTTGCTAAAAGTTTTAGAAGGCTATAAGGATTTTCTATGTTTGCATTTCATACCCCATTTATTCATTGGATATGAATATTATTACTTTTATGTAGTTAATCGCATTTCCTGTTTATGAAGAGGAAATGGCCATGAAAATGTCTACGGTATTGTTTTGCCAGTTCTTATTTACTCCGTTCATTCATAGAAAACGGTCTTTATTGCAGCACAGACTTAGGTAGATATTGATATCGCATTTTTTTCAATTACATTGTGTCTTTCTTAAGTCAAACTGCATTTATTCATATGTATATATTCATGTACATTTATTTATATGTATGCGCATAAATACAGGTATGTATATATATCCGTATGTATGTGTATACGTACGCGAATGTGCGCGTGGCCGTCTTTGTACTTGCACATGCCCAATCTGTCTCTCTGAGATAGGCAGAAAGATGATCAGAAATAATACGTATATTGAGAGAAATAAGCAAATGTAGTACGGAGAACGATTAACCAATTAGCGGAGAAGAAAAAACTAAACGCACCTCTTTCTTTTGTAGTCTTCGCCTGAACACTCGAGGGAGAGTCACGCTGCCGCCGAAGGGGAGAACCGAACCAGCTCCCCTGGAGGTATTTGGTATTCCCACAGTCAAGTTATATGGGATCTGGTATACGGAAAGATTATTAATTTGTGGTTATTATTATTATATCTTTAACGTGGGTAAGCTAGGCTCTTTGTGCTTTGTGCCAGTATCAAGGGAGGGCTAACGTTTGTTCACACTATTCATTGAAGGGGTGACTCTTATACGTACATTATCAAAAAAAGTAAAAAAAAAAAATCGATTTTAGCTGCAGTGCACTTTCATATACGAGGAAAAGAGTATTTGTTTACATCTCTATCTATCTATTGATGTATATATATGTATATATGTACATACATACATATACACATACACATACACACACACGTGGCGTGTATTTGTGTGTGTGTGTGTGTGTGTGTGTGTGTGTGTGTGTGTGTGTGTGTGTGTGTGTGTGTGTGTGTGTGTGTGTTGTGTGTGTGTGTGTGTGTGTGTGTGTTGTGTGTTTGTGTGTGTGTGTGTGTGTGTGTGTGTGTGTGTGTGTGTGTGTTGTGTGTGTGTGTGTGTGTGTGTGTGTGTGTGTGTGTGCATACACACATAAATCCTAACCCTAATATAACAACAAAGAGAAATGCACCCACGACTACCATTCCTTGTTAAACGTTTTTAAACAGACTCCCGCGAGTCACGTTACACACCGTTAAATCAATAACATCAGGCATTTCTACGTCCAAAATGGCTCCATCGACGACCAGTGCCTTTTTCTCTCCCAAAAGAAGACACAGGGACACCCACTGCCAGGGCGCCGATTTCCCCCCCGCCAGGACGGATTTCTTCCCGATTTCAAGGGCGTACGTGTCTCCTCTTCGAACTGCGAGAACGTTGTAGATGTCAGCTCGTAGATGTTTGATATGTCGTTCTCTGTCTCTGTCATCTCTCTCTCTCTTCTCTCTCTCTCTCTCTCTCTCTCTCTCTCTCTCTCTCTCTCTCTCTCTCTCTCTCTCTCTCTCTCTCTCTCTCTCTCTCTCTCGCCAAGTCTATCTGTTTATCAGATCAAAAAATGAAAACAATGATCTGATAAAGGAAGAGAAGGAGAGAGAGAGAGGAGAGAGAGAGAGAGAGAGAGAGAGAGAGAGAGAGAGAGAGAGAGAGAAGAGAGAGAGAGAGAGAGAGAGAGAGAGGGCCAGTCAAGAAAGACAGAGAGACACAGAAACAGACAGACAGAAAGAGAAAAAAGCAAACAGGTCCCAAACCTAATCAAGCACAGGACCCAACTCATCCCTACCAGCCAATTTCAAGGTGTCACTGAGGGCGAGAAGAAGCGTCCTAGAGACCTCCATCTGCTGTTGGAGTTGGAGTTGCAGACAGATGCTCACGTCTCTCGTCTCCTCCGGGAACGCAACCTCCTTCTGCAGCCACGCCCAAGAGGTTTCTGGGAACGCCGTGATGCGGAGGCCGTAGGAGGGGAGACTGGATGCTGCAGGAGAGGCTGGTGGGGTGGGGTGGGAAGTGGGGACAGAGAGGGAGAAGGATTAAGGAGGGAAGGAGGGAGGGTGAGATGGATGAAGAAGGGAAGGAGGTAGAGATAGAGGGAGACAGACAAGGAAAGGGAGAGAGAGGAATGGGAATAAGGAGGCAGGGAGAGAGGGAGACCGATGAGAACAGGGGAGGAGGTAAGGATGGAGGGAGACAAATAAGGAAAGGGACGGAAGAGGCAAAGGAAGAAGGGAGAGAGGGAGACAGATAAGGAAAGAGAGAGAGAGGAAAGGGAAGGAAAAGGTAAAGGAGGTAGGGAGAGAGAGGGACAGATAAGGAAGGGAGAGTAGGAAAATGAATAAAAAGTAGGGGCGGAGGAGGGAGAGGAAAAGGAGAAGGGAGATAGAGAGGAAAAGTAAAGGGACAGGGGAGACGGAAATGAAAGGGAGGGATGGAAAGAGGAGTGAAAAGATAAGGGAGGAGATGGAAGAAGGATAGAAGGAAGGAATTGAATGGAGAGGGAGGCAGGAAGGAAGGGATCGGGATAGTAGATGAGGTGGTGGTATAGGAAGGAGAGAAAGGAAGAGAAGGAAAGAGAAAGAGAGGCGTGGGAGGGAGAGACAGTGGGAAAGGAAGAGCGGAATGGGAAAGGGAGGAAGAGGGGGAGGGAAAGAAGGAATGGAGAGGGAGGGAAAGGAGAGAGAAGGAAGGCAACATAGTTCAAGAAAACGGATGTTTACAGGAAAAGGGAAGGAAGAAAAAAGGAAATGTAGAAGAAAAAGGAAGAAAGGGGAATGAGAAGATAAAGAGAAATATAAAATCAATTCTAGATAAGAAATATGTATTGGCATTCATATGATTTCCGATAATTATTTTCTGTTGTTTATTTACCTACTCACTCGAGCATAATTTACTCGGTATACAATTACAGAATTCAATAAAAGGGAACAGTACGAATATATAGAGTAAGATTATATGCCGTGGGTAGCCGGCGCTGATTGCTAACCAAATATGATATCAATATCATAAATATAAAACATCAATATGACATAAATATAAAAAATAATACATCGTATAACACAAATATCTAAATTATAAAT